ACCCTTCTTCTAAAAGTACTTCTAATGTGTTAAAAGAGAGAGTCTACTGGAAATGTGTGTCGCTGACTACTGAAGGACAGATAACCAAAGTAACGTGAACCTCAGCTAACATTATGAGCCACCGGCTTTAGCTGCCGAATTGTGAAAGGTTTTACTTCTAAATGGTGCACACTGCAGTGGAGGTCGCTCCCTTTGCGCACCTTTTCCAGCCTGGCTGGGGAACATTTCAGAACGAGGGGTCAGAAAGCTCCCTGTGCTTCCCTAATGGCAGCCTGGATCCCTTCACCTCTGCAGCCAAGATGCCACAGCACCCCTCTCCGTGTTGTGTAGGGGTTCCTCCTCAGGGGACTGTCTTGCCCGTGTGTTCCAGGTTATCCAGCCTTTTGTAGGGGCAGAGAATTTTCTTTAACCTGCTGCTCCTTCTCCCTCAGCCTCCAGAGGAACAGGGTCAGAGCTAAGGACATTGATTGGATTATGGCCCTCGTCTCTTAGGCTTGTTCCTAGGATGCTTCTGAGCTCGTGAAATGCAGAACCTGCAAGGACAGCAGCACTTACATGATTCACAAAGGTGATGCAGTTGCTGTTGTTGCTTTAACTCCAGGCTCCTTGTGTAGCTTGAACCTATTTCTATTCTGCACTGATCACCAGGTACTATAAATATTGAAGTGGTCTGCCCTTGAGGTCTGGGACCACGGTTTAGAAACTTTGTATCCCCTTTGCCTTGCACAGTGTATGGAACATGTCCAATAAATGCCAACTAGATCACACATCCGTAGGAAAATGTTCAATCACTAGAGTGCTTTGGCCACTTAAAGCATCCGAAGAGAGACGAGGTTGCATGGGTGGATGAGGCAGCAAAGATTCGAGATGGAAAGACAAAATGAGTTCTTCTCCAAAGGCTGAGCGTGCCAATGTCTAGGAGACCCCAGATACTGGGGGGAAATCATTCTTTTCTTTTTCATCACTAAAAATGTACTAATTGCCTACTGTGTACCCTCTGTGCTTGGCACTGGGGCATCAAAGTTAAATGACAGGTCCTCTTTTCCCAAGGACTTCATATTTATAAAGAATTGTTAGTTAGAATGACAGGTACTATAATAATAATATATATATAATGATACACAAGTACAGTGGGGAGGAGGGAGAGGGGTCAATCAGGCCTTATCACTCCCTGCTAAACCCCCAGTAGCATGCCACTGCACTTGAAGTAAAATCCAAATTCTCTACCTTGATGTACGAGGCCCTTCCCACCCCGCCCCTTCCCCTCTCTGACCTCATCAACCACCACCGCATCCCTTACTCACTTCCCAAACATGATTTCTGTCCTTGAACACAGCGAGTCCTTTCTCACCGCAAGGCCTTGCCCTCAGATCTTTCTCCTTGGCTGCCTCTTCCTTTATCATTCAGGCTTCTGCTCAAATACGCCCTCCCGTGGCCACTGTCTACATAACCCCTTTCCTCCGTCCCTCTGTGCCTCGGCCCTGTTACTATTTTTTTCATACACCATTTCACTATCTGACCTTATCCTGTTTGTTTATTCACATAATCATGGTTTCCCTCTCCTTTCCATTCTCCCGTGCACGGGAAGGGGGGTTCCTGAGAGCAGAGAAGGCTGCCTGGCTTGCTCCCTGCTCTGCCCTGTGCCCGGAACGAGGCCTGGAGGCCGGCACGGAGCAGAACCTCAGCAAGTATGACCTTGCCCTGGGGAAGAGAAGGAGATTCACCAAAGAAAAGCTATAGGTAAAAACAGGTGAGAGCGGGGCAGGCAGGTAGGGCCAGGGTCGGGACTGTGGGTATCAGAATACAGTGCAGGTCAAGTGTGGAGTGGAGGCCTGAGCAACGTGGCCCAGGCCTGTGTTTGCTGGGAGTAGGACTCAAGCTCCCAGGGCCTAGAGCCAGAGAGCGGGCTCGGACACAGAATTTACCAGCTGTCACTCGCCAGCTGCGTGGCCCAGGCAGTCACCTACCCCACAGTGCCTCCATGGCCTCATTTTAAAAAGAGCTGGTAATATTTTTCTATAAGGAGAATGTAAGAGTACTCTCTTCATAGGATTGTGTGAAGATTAAACGACTTGCTATGTAGAAAATGCCTAGTCGTGCTGATATATGGTTGGCGAAGCATTTGTACTATGACTAGAGAAGAATCGCTGAGGAGTGTGAGAAACAGGGTTATGGGGTTGACATTTGTATTTTAGAAAGATCATCGGGCTGGCAGTGGGGAGGTTCGAGTGCAGGGGGCTGAGAAATTGGTCAAGGAAACAAGACAGACCAAGGCCAGGCAGGGGCAGTGAGGGTGATGGCAGAGTTATTAAGACAACGGAATCAGCCGTCAGTTTGGGGAAGGAGGGGAGGCAAAGACACAGTAGGTAATGATTCCTGGATGTGGCGCTAGGGTAATTGGGTGGCTGGTGGTGCCATTCACCATACAGAAAATACGGGAGGTGGGTTAGGTTTGAGAGCCAGGGTAGGGAGAGAGGGTGAGAAGGCAGGACTTGTTCAGCTGTGACAGGTTGACTTTGAGTGCTGTGGGAACTCCAGGGGGAGCTACTCAGCAAGAAAACCCACCTCTTCCTAGATCTCAATACTGTATGGCACTCACATGCTAAGCACTGTATTTATTGGTACTTAATAAATGTTAGCACTTAATGTTTAGTGTTTATAATTTTTGCTTTTAAGGCAAATACTGTGAGAGCATATTTGTCCACATCTGAGGGTTGCGTTTTTTGTTTGTTTGCTTTGTTTTTGAGAGTTCCATAAGTAGACTTACTGGAGCAAAGGTATGTTACCTTTTAGAGATTTTAACTCATCTTGCCAAATTGTTTTTCAAAAAGGTTGTACCAATATATATTCCCAAAATAATCTGGGGTTATTTAAAAACAACCTTAATATTTTTTTATAAATACCACCCCCAAAATTGCCAGGGTATGGGGAACAGTTCTCTCGTGTGCTACCTACGGATGTGACCGCCAATGTCAGCTCCATCTTTAAAAGTTGCTAGTTGCCTTTGTCCTAGGGAAATTCCTCAAATAAATGCCTGTTATGAATTAACATATTGTCAATACTGCAACCCGAACTATATTCCTGAAACCATGGCAATAAGGGAAATACAAACACTCCATGCATAAAGACTCCCGTGAGGCTTGGGAGAAGGGTGTAAGGAAAACCGTGAATATAAAGCTCCACTTTACCAAACAACATTATTGTAACAGTATTTTCCCCCAAAGAACAGGCTTCTTGCAACTTTCCTTACCATGATTTAGCATATGCACAAAGGAAATCCCATTTCCCTTGAATCCATACAGGCACTGTGAGAGGGCAGGCACCGTTCACTGGTCAAGTACAATTTTAACCCAGAATAAACTAAAATTTCTTTCCAATGTATGTAAAATAGAAAAATCTATCTTCACTGAAGACAGTGATTTGGTCCATTCTACAAGGGGTTATCATGAATTATTGGCCGTCCGGGTGCTTCTGATGGTTGTTAATGTATTTCTTTTTTTTTTTATCCTCACCCAAGGACATTTTTCCATTTTTTGTTCAGGTAGAGTGGGAGGGAGAGAGAGGAAGAGAAAGAGAGAAACATCGATGTGAAAGGGACACATCGAGTGGCTGCCACCCACACGACCCAACCAGGACAAACTGCAACCGAGGTCTGAACCCGCGTCTCTCTGGACCGCAGGCCAATGCTCTAACCGCTGAGCCAAACCGGCCAGGGCATTATTATATTTCTAACACACCACACACAGCTGAGACACACCACAGAGCACCAGTACCCAAAGAAGTGTTTGGTATCCCTTTCTGTAAATACTTGCTTTATCAGACTTGGATTTGTACATTATCTACTTTTCAATCTGTTGTCTTTTTCAGAGTCCTTATAAAGGAAACATGGGTAGACTGCTCTTGCTCATGTGTTGTGTTGAACCGAATGTTTATTTTGTATTTTTCACCATCCACTCACTGGAGGCCACTTAACCAGGGGGCCTCAGCACCAGTACTTGCCTCTTCTGTTCAGAGCATTAACCATCCATCAAAGTCTGAATGGAGACTCACACTTGCTTTTGGAAAGCTTTTTTACACCTAGTCCACAGTCACTGTTCTCAGGGTGGAAATGGGTAAAGAGAATGGTCATATTATCCAGTTTTGGCTATAATGGTAATTCATAAAATTTTAGATTCCGGGTGTATGGGGGAAGTGAGCTAGTTGATGTTTCTTTAGGTGTATTTGTCAGAACTCTGGCCTCTAGGAGGAAAAAAAATGTTTCCTAGCCAAACAAGTTTGGGACACTGAATCCTGTATTGTCATCCTCTTGAATATTCACAACGAAACGGCAACTCTGTCAGCATTTCCCAAATTTATTTGACCCCGGAGTCTCTTTTCCCTGTTTAATAGCCTTACCATCCTGCTGTAGAAAATGATTCCAGTCTCCTAGTGAAGGGCCAGCAAATGCAGCCACTTGTGGAGTAACAGCCTGTAACGACAGGACCAGAACCCACAATGGCTGCTTATTTGTATTGGTAACAATGGCTTCCAAACATTTTGAGATTTTTTCCCCTTGAAATTTATTTAGAGAATCGTTTTTAAGGGATTTAGGGTCCTAGTTTATAAAGATTTATCCCTTAGCAGATGGAAAATGTGTCATTTGCCCATTCCATTTAGCAGTACTCTGTATTCCTGTGCAGCAGAAATGGAACCTGAATAGTAAGCACGGTGGAGAGCGAGGCTCACAGGGCTCTCGATCCGTCAGAGGAGTGGGATTGGGGGAAACTCGGTAAGCAATTAAACAAGTAGATAGGTAATTAGATATTTCTATACGGGATCCCAGGAAAATGAACTATGTGCCGTCAGATTGAGCTTAAATTGGCAATCACTTTCCTTTTTAATTGACCCAGATTCAGAAGGGATCAATCAACAGCAGCTGTTTTTATGGCCATCGTGGTACTTTGCTCATGACTACAGCCTGAACCACTTAACGCCCCCACCTTCCCCTCTTGTTTTCCCAGGCGGGCGAAGCAAAATGAGAGTGCAGTGAGCCGGCCCAGCCTCTCTCCCAGCCGTCCCCAACGCCCACCATGAACCAGTCGGAGGGGGCCGCGGAGGTGGAGGTGAGCGACGAGGCGGCAGGCGGGGAGGTGAACGAGTCGGTGGAGGCCGACCTGGAGCGCCCCGAGGTGGAGGAGGAGCAGCCGCAGCCGCAGCCGCAGTACGCGGGCCGGCCGCCTCGCGGGCCCGCCGTCGCCGAGGACCTCAGCGCCCAGCCCGGGCCGCAGGAGGAGGAGGAGCGCGGGGAGTGTCTGGCGCGCTCGGCCAGCACCGAGAGCGGCTTCCACAACCACACGGACACGGCCGAGGGCGACGTGATCGCCGCGGCTCGCGATGGCTATGACCCGGAGCGCGCCCAGGACCCCGAGGACGAGAGCGCCTACGCCGTGCAGTACCGGCCCGAGGCCGAGGAGTACACGGAACAGGCGGAGGCCGAGCACGCCGAGGCCACGCACCGCCGCGCGCTGCCCAACCACCTGCACTTCCACTCGCTGGAGCACGAGGAGGCCATGAACGCGGCCTACTCGGGCTACGTCTACACGCACCGGCTCTTCCACCGCGGCGAGGACGAGCCCTACGCCGAGCCCTACGCCGACTACGGGGGCCTCCAGGAGCACGTGTACGAGGAGATCGGGGACGCACCCGAGCTAGACGCGCGCAACGGGCTGCGGCTGTACGAGCAGGAGCGCGACGAGGCGGCCGCGTACCGCCAGGAGGCCCTGGGCGCGCGGCTGCACCACTATGACGAGCGCTCGGACGGCGAGTCCGACAGCCCCGAAAAGGAGGCCGAGTTCGCGCCCTACCCGCGAATGGACAGCTACGAGCAGGAGGAGGACATCGACCAGATCGTGGCGGAGGTCAAGCAGAGCATGAGCTCGCAGAGCCTCGACAAGGCGGCCGAGGACATGCCGGAGGCTGAACAGGACCTGGAGCGCGCCTCCACCCCCGGAGGGGGCCGCCCCGACAGCCCCGGGCCACAAGCCCCGGCTGGGCAGCAGCGGGCCGTGGGCACTGCGGGCGGCGAGGCGGTGCAGCGGTACAGCAAGGAGAAGAGGGATGCTATCTCGCTGGCCATCAAGGACATCAAGGAGGCCATCGAGGAGGTGAAAACCAGGACCATCCGTTCGCCTTACACCCCCGACGAACCCAAAGAGCCTATCTGGGTCATGCGCCAGGACATTAGCCCCACGAGAGATTGTGATGACCAGAGGCCGGGGGATGGAGATGTAAGTATGCGCGGATTCAGGCATGCTCAGCTCTACCTGCGGCCTTGCTCGTCATTGGGAAAGGACTTTAGGAGATAAATGGTCTGTGGGAATGCTAAAACTGTGTTTACCGTAAGCCTCAGAGATAGCTTGCACGTAAGCACAAGTGAAAGAGAGGCGGCTGGGAGTTCAAGTGTAGAATGCGCTTACCAGACCTTAGAGGGATTAGTGTGAGCCAGTGGTTCGCACACTGCTCCTAGAGAACTTATTCAGAACCGGGTTTCTAGGCGCATCCTCCCCCGCCCCCACCCAACTTTCCAGGCCCTCCTTTCTCATTTAGAAGGTTTGGGGTGGGACCTGAGAATTTGTATTCCTAATGTCAAACAAACAAACCAAGTCCTGGTTGAATAAGGAGAGACATGGTTGGAAAGGAGTATTGCAAACGGGAGAAAGGTATCATTGTGGTGGGGGACAGGGGAGGGAAGAGTAGCAATACTGGACAATTTCTGACTCTAAGATCTGCAAGAGTCTCTAGCTTAGGCAAAAAGGGGGTTCTTTCATAGGGAGGAGTAAACAAGGCTAGAAAGGACAGGTATGGGGAAGCACAACTTGAATGCATTGCAGATGAGAAAGTGTTTTCACCTGAGAACAGCCTGTTGTCAGGAGGGGCTGTTGAGGAGGGGTTGTAGACTAGTCAATGTTCAAGGACCTGGAGAAAGGAAAAGCTTAACCAAAGTCTGGTTAGCAAGCATTTTAGAGATTACTCCAGAGTTCAGCAACCGTTTGTCGGGTAAAGAATGGGAATTTAGAGGGTCTGTGTCTGGCTTTGTCATAGGTAATCAAGGAGGCGCCTATGAGTGCGTCTTATCTAAGTCACATGGAGGGGGGGCGGTTCTTTGTAGCACTAAAGGGTAGGGGGCACTTAACTTTTGCTGTTTTCTGGGAGCACAGGGCTCAGGTGAAATTCAACATTGTCACTAAGAAGTTCTCAGGTGAGGCTGACACTGCTGGTCCCAGGACCACAATTGGGAAACCACTGATTTAAAGCAACCCCTAACAGGTTTGGGACAGATAGTGTGGCCTGCTCAGGTGAAATATTTTGGAGCCCTTTCCTGCCAGGAGTTTCTGCAGTTTTTCATCCACCTGTGCTTCACTGTGGCTTTCAGTACGTGCTTAATTCAAGGTTCCAGGGTGTCCTTTTCACATCACAAAAGACATGGGTTTGGGTTTAAACTGAACTGTCCTTTTTTGCTTTTTTGAGGAGAGCTACAGAAAGCTATTGCTGTCCCTGCGCACATTTTATTTTTCATTTTCAAAATACCTAAGAAATTTGATAGCATGGCAAGCTTGGTTATCACAATCTATTCAAAATAAGTCAAGAAGACTAACCTTTGCCCCACTACTTAACTATAAAGATTCTCTAGCTGCCCTGGCTGGTTTGGCTCAGCAATTAGAGCATTATCCGGCAGGTGGACCTAAGGGTCTCGAGTTCAGTTCTCAGTCAAGGGCAGTACCTGGGTTTGATCCCCTGCCCCTATTCCAGGGTGTGCAGGAGGCAACCAGTCGATGTGTCTCTCTTACATTGATGTTTCTCTCTCTTTCTCTCCTTCTCTCCCTTCCACTCTATCTAAAAAAAAGAAAGAAAGAAAAAAATCAATGGAAAAAAATCTCCAGTGAGGATTTTTTTTAAAAAAAGAAAATATATTCTTTCTGTTCTGATGCTCACTTTCCATTCTCTTGAAAAAATTATAAGCAATTTTATTTAAAGTGGGAGCTTGGAGTAAAAGAAGGGTCAAGAGGTTAAATTCAATTTCATTTAATTCTTCATTTTATTATTGCACCAGGAGCTATTTCTCATTATATATTTCGGAGTAAAAAACAATTATAGGAAGTTGTTCATTTTACTTATACCGAGAGGGCTATGCAGGTCAGAGAGATGTCACTCCCCTCCTCTCTTAGTAATGGTCAACATTTGCTGTTCACTGATTAAATCTCTGGCAACTTTAAGGAAAGGCTAGAAACCTGGGGAAAGGATCTGCGTGCTCCCCAGCAAGGGGGCAGCATTGGGTCAGTTATTTCCAGGATGTCCTGTATCTCTTGTTTTCCAGACTTCTCATCCAAAAGGTTCAGAACAGGTGTAGCCTTCCTCTTGACTTCCAGCCATTTCCAGGTTGCTCCCAGCTAGGATGGAGGGATTGCAGCAAGCATTTTGCAAATCAAGTGGAAATAGCGCAGGTTTGCACAAGTAGGACGCTGGCAAGAAGCCGGGTTCTGCATTCTTTTAGAAACTTGGAAAAAGCTGCAGGAGCATTAAGTCCAGATGCTGGTCTCTTCCTTCAGCTTTCTCCCATGTGCCAGCTCCTTGAAACGACCAGCTCAACCCTATTGTCCCTGCAGCCTCACAGTGAGCCCAGAGCACAGCTGCACTAGGGTGGAGGGCTTGCTTTTATTCATTTAAACTAAAACAACAACTTCACCCTCAGTGTTTCCTCCCAAAGGTAGTATTAATTTTAGAAGATTGGATGATGCTTTAGAAACCCGTACTGGCAGAAATTCGGCTTGATGCTAAGAAATTGGTGAGTAGGGCTCACTGAGTTATGAATAGTTAATACCAAGCAAAACCCCAAACCTGTGCTTTAAAATATTCCACCAGTCAGTTTTGAGCAATTTGAACTAGTGGTTGTAGTTTATCTTCATGCTGTATTTATAGAAAGACCTTCATTTGCTACCTTTTAAATGGTATTATGGGGAGGGATATAAATATGTACATTCTGTTGATTTCTACATCAGCATCAAAAATATTTACTGAATGCTCATTTCATGTAGAAAATGGAAAGCACAATTAAAAGCAGTGTGGTCTGAAGTCTGTCTGGGAGGTACTTGATGAAAATACAAATTACTGTCTTTCCTTTCCAAACCGGAGTACCTAAGTGGGACCCAGGGACCTGGGGTTTGGGATTTTTTTGTTTATTTTCTGGCTTTGTTTTATAAATTCTCCCTGTGATTCTTAAGCATATTAAAGATTAAGAACCGTTGATTTAAAGGAAAAACTGTATTCTCTGTGCAGTTCCCCCATATAATATCTGTGGATTTTGAGACCTAACTAACTTTTATTAGCACAGGTACAGTTTTAACAAAAGGGGCTGTCCTGCTGTGGTTATGGTCAGCAGACCTAGAGAAGTGGCCTCGCAATTCTCATTCCAAAAGCAGTGTGTTCTCAAATCGGTGTGATCAGAAGCAGCACACACAAAACAGAAATAACTGCCCTGGCCGGTTTGACTTAGTGGTTAGAGAGTCGGCCTGCGGACCAGAGAATCCCGGGTTTGGTTCCCACTAAGGGCATGTACCTAGGTTGCAGTTTGTCCCCACCCTGGTTGGGTTCATGTCGGTGGTGGCCACTCGATGTGTCTCTCTCACATCAATGTTTCTCCCCCACCCCCCACTCTATCTGAAGATAAATGCAAAAAATGTCCTCAGGTGAGGATTAAAAAAAAAACAACCACCAAAAAAACAAACAAAAAAACACAGAGATAACTGCTGATAGCTCAGTCTGTTTTTAACACTACTTTTAATTCTCTCGAAACTTGAGCATTTTTCTCTTCACTTGGAGAAAACTGACATTTGCTTGCCAATGCCTCGTACAGTACGCGAAGATAGGATTTCTCATTAGCAAGAACATATTGAACTCATACTACCTGCTCAGCACTGAGGGAAAAATAATTGTTTTCTGAAAATTTATTAAATACGTATTAGTGCTTTGCTTCTAGTAGATACTTTCTCTTTTCCAAATATGTGTTTGAAAACGACCTCCCACCCCCCTTCTTGAAAAATATTGCTAACGAATGACCAGTTCTGAAAAGTCCCACAGCCTACCGATCTCTTTTTAAGCAACTAAGTCATTCTGAGTAGAAAGCAGGGTCCTGGCAGGATCAGAGAGATGACGGTAGCAGCACGCAGTGGTAATTGGAGAGTGTCGGCTACTTTGATGTGTTCTGCAGCTTGAAATGGTGTTTATCTCTGCTCCCTCTTAAAGCTACAGTAAAATGATAAAAATTTGTAAAACCACAAGCACCAGGAGACAGGAAACAGCAGCAGCTGAGAACAACACAATTTGGGGACATCCAAGTGGTGACTGGCTGTGGTGGATATTAGCGCTCCCCAGTATTCCCAGTTGTCCTCTTCTCCCAAGCACAGGGAGGCCCGCGCCACACTTCCTCATCTTCTAGAACGTAGGCCTGGCCCATGGACAGGAGCAGTGAAGTGGGTGCTACTTCCACGCAGGAGCAGTTCTCCCCCTGGAACCTCATGTCACACAAGACGCAGAGCGTCTGTCAGCATGGGTGCCGAGTGACGGCTAAGAGCGGGGCCCCCGCTGACCCGTGGGCAGGCAGTGTGGGAGAGGAATGGACCTTGGCAGTTTGGTGGTTTGTTAGCATAGCATAGCCTGACCCGTCCTGACAAATACACCCATAGCTTTCTGTTTCCTCTCTCTGCTGAGGGGCTGCAGGGATTTGTGCTGTGAATCCCCAAGAAAGGCTTGGGGATCCGACACCCAGATACTTCAGATGGCTGGACCGTGGCTGGGAAAGAGGGATTGTTTGAAAGTTGGTCACAGGAGAGGTTAGATGCCAGATCCCTTATCCAGCCCCTGTGGCCCGGTCACCTCCCCTCCCACGGCCCACAGAAGATGGGAGGTCCCCTCTAGGGCAGCAGTCCTCAACCTGGGGGTCACGACCACTTTGGGGGTCGAACGACCCTTCCACAGGGGCTGCCTAAGACATAACAGTAGCAAAATGAAGTGGCAAGAAAAATAATCTTATGGTTGGGGGTCGCCACAACATGAGGAACTGTATTACAGGGCCGCGGCATCAGGAAGGTTGAGAACCGCTGCTCTACGGAAAGGGTGACCCAGGGAAGTGGTGGGCCTGGGGACACTCGAGACAGCTGAAAGTGGGGGTGAAGAGCCTTACGGAACTTTCCCCAGGTCTGCTCAGCAGTGACACTCAGAGTGTCTCATGTTC